TCCACTTGACAGTCCTTGTGGCCGCAGCTACACCATTTACAGCAATGAACCACCACAAGCCACGCTGCCTCTCGCCCACTTGTTCTTTCCCTTTCTCACCTCTTTCATCTCTCTTAAGAATGAGACTTCTACTGGATGGCCAAAGAGCAATCCAAATGGCAGTTGGCACAGCAACTCTAAAAAAATTCTATCTAACTATGGTCAAGGCACAGCAATTTCCCAGCTTGATGACGCCTTTATTTACCAGAGGGAAGGATGAAGGAGACCACAGGCATAAAGACCAAAGAGATATGCCAAGTTAGTTACAGGTAAATTCTGTGTTTCAGAGAGTCTAAAACCTAATCAAAGGGGAACTCAGCCTGAACCTTGCTCTTGGTGAAAGAGGAATGTGATCGCAATAAACTGGGCAGGGCTTAGTGCTCACAAACAGGAGCTACGTGAATTGCATATTTTAGGATAGAGCATCAAGAAACCTTGTGGGGTGATGCTTTCCTTGATCTGCAGCGCGGTTCCTTACTGGGGAACTATTCACGGCTCTCAGATCCGAGAGCCAGGAAGGATGACGATGAATAAATAAATATCCACTGCTCTGGGAGTAAAGGAAGCAATGGCATCTGCTTTAATTTCTGGCACCGGAAGAATACAGTGCTAAGTAAAAGCAAATTCAACAAGCAGCAACTTCCAGGTTTTGGAGCGGGTCTTCTGGAAATCAAGCTCTAGATTTCTTCAGGTTGCACATCCAAAAGTTGCCACCTGAGCGAATCTGGGCCACTACTTTGGGGAAGATGCAGATCACCAGTGAGACGTCCAGCAGGGTTGAACTAGAAATGCTAAGACAAAACTCGGGATGAATTCCAACCAGTATGTGCCAAATCGAGGGTGAGGGACTCAAGGAGCTCTCTGCAGTGATTTACTGCCCACCTGGACCAAAAACGCAGAGATATACTACCAGATACAACTCTGTATTGACCCTGTAGGCATAGACTACTTGACCTAATAGGTTTTCCCTAGGTAATTTCTGTGATTCACGATGGGTTAGTCAGAGAGCGGGCTGGATTTTCCGAACAGCAAGGTTTGGGGAGTTCTTGAAGAGAGGGTAGATGAATGATAGCGATATTTTGTAGGTAACACATACAAACCAGCAGAGGCATGTAATGTATTACTGAATGTGTCTTCTACATCTCATTATTCTTGGAGTCCATAGAGGTCCCAGATTTCTATTCCTAACACAAGCTCAAATAGTTTCATATTTTGAATTTTAAAATCTCATTGAAGACGTGCAGATTTAATAACTTTTCTGCTCAATTAAAGCAGTTCCTATTTAACAATGTACTGCAGTAAGTTACCTTTCGAAATGTGCAATGTATCCTTTCTTTTGAGAATGAACTCTTTTGGTGGTACAAAATGATTTGTTTTGCAAATTTTATTGTACAGCAGTTTCAGTAATTTAATCCTGCAGTTAGCATGTTTTTGCAGTCCCGCACCCACTTCTGCTTTCATTTACTGCTTTTCAATCCCACAAGTGCGAATGTATGGGTAAACCAGCACTGCAATAAGTTTAGCTTGCTCTTTATATCTGAAATGGATGTATTGCTTTAGGCAACGGACCACTACATTCCATTTAGACTTCATATATTTTTATTCTTTTCTCTCCTCAGCTTGCCTTATGCTTCCAGTCCCCAAATAATTCGCATGATGTAATGTGTATGTGGTATAGAATAACATCTGAAAGCTTCAGATTAATTGCTACACTCAAAACATCTCTATTTTTTTTCTATCTTTTTTTTTTTTTTTTTAAAAGAGGAGTAAAGCTCTGGCACTCACTACGCACTGATAAGCAGCGTTTATCTACCCTAAGGTACCTTTGCTTATTCTGTTTTGGGTGGGCTTTTTTAATTGCATTTTTCCACCAGCACTGAACTTGTTTTCTGGCTGCGTATTTTTCCCACGGTACATTTAAGATGCATCTGTTATAATTATTAGGATGCAAAGTGCAAGCCTCTCTGAAAAACAGCTTGTAAATTTTGAAGGATAATTCTGTAGCAATTACACAGGTAGAATGGCTTATTTAACTGTGAACTTTGTCCCATGACATGGGAACCATCATGTTTTAATAGTCTTTAAGGGTCATAAGGCATATCTAACTGCTATGTGCATTTAATAACACGTCTATGTGACTATGAACATTTTCCTGTATGTAACACAGGCCAAATGTATTTCTCCTCTGATGAAATCAGTGATTTACTTCCAAGTATTCAAACATCTCCACTCCAAAGGAGATTGGAGGGCCAACTGGAGGGCTCAATTTTCCCAGCCATCTGCAAGGACGGGGGACATTGTGGCTCAGTAAGGTCAACCGCTAGATAAGCCTTGGTGCCAAACGCTGCCTTCCTGGCTTCCAGAAATATTACAGATTTGAGAAGGAATCCAAGTCCTGGCTGGCAGCGGGACCCACCAGGACTGTCTAAATACACTCCTCCCAGGCCTAGAGAAGATTTAGTGTGGGATTTTTTGTGGGAAGCAACACAGCTTTCATCCCATGCCCAAGCCTTCTTCAACAAGGCTGCTCCCAAGAGAGTCTAGAGCTTCCTCTTGCTCCAAAGAAATATACATATATTACATACATATATGCATATCGATAAATGCAGCAGGGAGCCCATTGGTTTGGGTGCACACAGCCGCTCTGGGCCCAACCAATTTTAACAGGCACCAAGCATCTTCAGAAATAACATCTCTTCCTCTTAATCGGGTACTGTCCTATTAAGATTGGAATTGATCCTACCAACTTCTCCTGAAGCGCACCGATAAATAATCCCTGCCACGGTGGTCAGCCAATCTTCTCCCCCTTCAAACAAAGACGTATAGCTGTTTTGCACCAGACAGCGAGACGGCCATCAATCACCGGCTGACTGGCGCTACCTTCCCGCTTTGCCTTGCCACATATACTTTGCTCATAATTAAACCCTGGCCGTAACTCACAGCGCCTCTGCTGAGGTCTCCTCCGGAAAACTCGCTCTTTGGCCACCCTACCAGGGACGGAGCTCATTCCCGACCACAAGCGACGCTTGTCAACACTGGTGCTGGCTTTTGATTAAGGAGCAGGACTCAGCTGTCCACTCGCCATGATACATGGTGTTTTCGCTCATTAGTTATGGTATCACGAACCCTCATTACGGCAAAGGATGGTCCCCAAAAATCCAACAAACTACAAGCCTCAGTTACAGCAGAAAGTTGTTTTTGTTGCAAAACTTCCAGAATATTATTAATTATTGCGTGCACGGCAGTCGCCTCTGGGAATCCCAGTCACTGACCAGGACACCACTGGCAGACTGGAGGGAGATGGTACCACCGGGAGAAGCAAGGCAGTGAGCAGCTGCAGGAAAGCTCACGTTCCAGGTGTTTGCAGGGGTTACCCACTGGCAGAGAGCACGCTGGCTAAGCACTCAGGAAACTCTGCATTGCAGCTTTCTTTCCAACCTGCTGGCTGAGCATAGGCGAGCGAGGGGCTTCCTCTGCAAGCCGAGATAACAACGGTGCCACCAGTCTAATGAGGCTTGGGTGAAGTGCCACGTGGACAAGACTGACCTACTTGCAGCTTGGGAATAGGCTTGCTCAGCGCTAGCTCGCCTCTGCATTACGCAGTACGGCTCGCCCTCGTTCACATCACTGGAGTGGAAAACTATCTGCATTTCCCAGGCGCAACCTCTGACTTGAGGGACTCAGGTGTATCTGTTAACTCCAGGCAGGTGATAAGTAGCCAAACACACATTTCTTTTGAAAATTCAAGCAGTTCTAAGACACCGGCAGAAACGGACTTAGACTGCAGAACGCCATTAACATGTAAACATGTGCTCTGAATAGGCCATTTCTTCAGACAACTCCCAGCATAATGCCACAGCCATTTAACGGCATGTCTCCTGGACTGGTAGTAACTCCTGCAGAATACAATGGATGCTTTATCCTGCAGCAGCCCATCTATCCTGCCCCTCTCAGCTGGACCCAGCTGTTGTGGCAAATGAGCTGCCAGGCTGCCATTTCTTTTTTTTGCACAGCTTTGGTCATGCGTGACAGTGCTTTGATATTTATTGTGGCTCCCCACATTCCTTTTCCGATTATCAAGTGAAACAAAAATATACAAAGGAGCGACACTGGCAAACTATTCTAAATAGCTCTTTTGAAACCATAATAGTTTTTGCAGTTATGCAACCATGGAGGGGGATCCAAAATGTTCTGCCTGCCTGGAAGATGCTAGATACGTATTGAGCCCAGGGCCATGGATTTTGCTTTGGGGTCAGGTGAGCAATATGGAGGCACCGCAACACTGAAAACCCTGAGCCTGAGGTGCTTGGGGGATCTGGGCCTCATCCCTCGCAAGCAGACGAGATTGTTCTCAACTAAAGACCGCCAAGACTGTTTAGGAAATGGACAACCACCTCAACCTCCTCCCGTTCTTGAGTAAAACCTGAAACATGCACTCCAGTCCCCAAGCTATTACTACTGTGAGGAACATCTACTCTCATGAGCAACTTCTTCAGCTCCAGTGGGACTAGTCAGCACTATACCACTGACCCACATGCAGGCAAGGGTACTGATCCTGGCCTCAGGTGGATGAACAATCTGTAGAGGGGACGGTATGAGGAGCTTCCCTTTTACGTGTAGCCTACTGTCACGTAGTGAGAGATGGAGAACACATCTGTTCTCCCTAGCTGCTGGCTGGAAAAAAGAACTCGCTACATGGATGCACCTCACAAACACGTGTGGCAACCTCTCCCTCAGCAGCTGTCCATGTCAGGAGCTCAGCACCATCCTTGCATAGGTGCAATCATCTCCTGCTTCACCAGGTAACAGGAGAAAGGCTTAGGCCACACAGTTTCTTCTGCAAGAGCTGCTGTCACACAGCCATTTCACTGCTCAGTTCCCTTTTGCAGTAACAAAACAGCGTTACATTGGCCACTTTTTCTGCTCAGCACATTGGCAGCCTGTGAATCTGCGGTGCCTACCTTAACTTCCACATGCGCCATGAGGACCGCAAAGTTGGTTAGGTGATTGCAGGAGCACGTGGTGTGCGTCTTGTTAGTTGTCAGGAGGCGACATCCTTGGGTGGACCAGTACCCTGTCATTGTACGCTTTGTGTAGCTCCAGAAGGAACAGTTTGGATTGAAATTTTCTTCTGACTGCTGCGGGGAAGAAATGAATAAATGCAATAAAATGATAGGGTTTCAGAGATTTCTAAATACACTCAGTTTTTTTTCCAGAGGCACTTTGTAACTCTCACCCTTTAATTTTACATAAACAATCAGCAATGGTTTATATGTCAAGTATTACTTGTCAATACCAGAGAAAGTTAGATTGTTGCTGCTCTCTTTGCTAATGCAAACTTAGTTCTTGATTAATTTCAGCCACCGAGTAAATTCAGCTCTTTAGAACCAGATTGCTTCATTTGCATTGCAGAGTAGAGAAATTAATTGCTTTAAGCAATCAGCTTTTGCAATGACTGCGCTTGGCTAGCAGGAGGACTAACTGTCCTTTTTCACTGTAATTCCACTTTCCTCTAACGTCCCCTGCCATCATGATAAAATAATGTTATGGCCCATTCTAAGATATTGGTAGTTTTTAATTACAGAATGACGCGTGTCAGCAACTGAGCAATGGGCACCACCTCAAAGGAGACTCTTTCCTTACTTTTATTAACGCAACGCAAATAAATGTTCTCCATAAAGAACACAAAGCGTAAGGGAATAGGTGTATAATTCAAAAACTAATCAAGGGCTGCTGGGGAGCCTCAGATCAGCACACTTTTGCTGCACTTTGCTTAAGAAATTGGGGGCAAAGAAAAGCTTTTCCAGGCGCGCTCACCTTGATGTGCTTGACAGTAAATACCACGGGATCAGCCAGGTAAACCTTATTGCTGAACTCTTTGTTTATTGCTGCCGTAATGACAGGGGAGTTGACGATGACAGAGTGATTCGTCGACATAGCCTCCGTTCCCAACTTCATGCTGGCATTCTCCGTGGAGAGATAGGTGCCCAGGTTGTTGTACAGCACAAAAGCCACCCTGATCTCACCTGAGAAAGCAGAGAGAGGTTAGCAAACCAGGCCAGCCCGCTGGGTTTTGGTTTAGGCAGTACATCTCTTCTCTGAACAAACCTGAACCTTTTTCTGAGATCAGCTTTTCTCGATTTGCCAAGCAGATATCCTCTTTCCATGGAAACTCACCGCTTATGCGTAAAACCCACACCTACGAGCCACCCAGCTGGCCTCTGCTTTGCACATTATTGCATGGGCAATAAAAACAGAGCATAATTAGTTTGCCTTTATAGTTATTTGTTTGTGTGTTTTGCAAGGAATCACCTTGGGCTCTGAGGATCCTCTGGAAGGAAAGACAGTGCACAAATAGTGCACAGAGCCCTGCTTTATGCAGGGGGTTGGACCAGGTGATATCCAAAGGTCCCTCCCGAATCCTTCTGTGATTCTTTGAATCCAATATTATTTGGTGACCTGTGGGCGGGTAGATGTGGCTCTCTGGTTTTGACCAAAAGTTCCCTGACACCGTCCTTAGAAGTACAGACTTTCCCGTCCTCACCTCCAACCCAATTTCTCTTTCCCTTTTTTTTCTAACAGAGTGGGATGTCTGCCCCAGTGGAGCTTTTTTTACTCATCTCGGTGAACCTAGGTTTTTACACAAGAAACAGAGTAAAGTACGTGAGCGAAGTACACAGTTTAAAAGAATCCATAAATAGGAGCACGTCAGGTGCATTAATTAGTACAAAGTCTGGCAGTTTGAAGTTGGTCTTTAGCGGAGCTACAGAGATGAACAAACATCTATGCTCAAATTACTGATCTGGAAATAAATGACTTGGCAGCTTAAAGACCGTTCACATATAATGTCATCTTTAATTTACACTTTATCATAAGCTTCAGAGAGAAAGACACTGAAGACTGAGACTCCTAACGGTTAATCAACCTTTGCTGCCACGTTGGCTTGCTATTAATATTTCTTACTATTGTTTCTCCCCTCTCTCTTTTAAGATATTTGCATAGTGCCCCACTGTGAAACAGTTTATTCACAAAAGCTTCTTATCCCATGTGAGGCTTCCTACTGCAGACAACAGCATTTAAAAGCACTTCCTGGGACTCAATACTGTGTCCTAGTAGCCACATCATTTAAGGACCTGATGCATTTTTACCCACGCTTAACACTTTTGGAGACTCAGTCCCTTGACAACATAATAAATTCCCTGTCGCTCCACTTATCCTGCAGTCAAGGGCACGGGCGACTGATGTTAACATTAAAATATTAACGTAGTGAGTAACAGAATATTTGCAACTGGTTAAACAAAGCACAGTGTTTCCAAACTGTTCAGAAACAGTGCTGAAAGTGCGAGCGGTGCACAAGGCCAGCGGGGCTGGACCTACCGTTTCGACCATTTTGTTTCAAGGTATTTGCCGACAGCTGAATGGCGCTCCCGTGGCCCAGGTTCTGCGGAAATTTCAGATCCTCCAGATTCCCATCTGTGCTCAGCCTTGCAACTTCCAGCTCTGTTTGCAAGAGAGACCGGCGTTAAGAAAAATCACTGCTGAAATAATCCTCGACATAACGCTTCAGAGTTACAAAATGGGTTTTCCAGACCATCTGAAAACAGAGCAATTGGCTTAGAGCGTTTCAAACTAGACTCTGTGTGGACTCCTATGTCTGCTGAAATCTTTGCCCTGTAGAAGTTTACAATTTAATTTAAAAAAAAAGTAAATAAATTCTGCTCTCTGTGGAAGACAAAAGACAACCAGTTGTTGCAAACAAGAGCCACAGGATATTAAGGACAACGGCTAAAACGAGAATCTGAAAATGCTAGTTCTTTGCCATTGGCGATTAGTACTTTCTGTAAATATCAGCGCTGCAGATCTGCATCCACAGACGTGGAAAGAAGAGTTGTTCTCATTTTACATGTGCACAGTGGGAGTGCTGGTGGCTCTCCATCATGCTTGTTTTTTAATTAAAATCAACCATCAGCTAAATAAAGACACAAATCGGTACGAAATGAAACACAATTATATTACGATAAAGAGCAATCTCCCCGTGAAGCGGTGCTCTCGTTGCTCTAACACAGACTTTACACACAAAGCGAGAAGCAATAAAGGTGGCAGAGGAGTTTAGGTGCTCGTCTTCCATGGGCTTTCGAGGGTAGAGAGCTGCCTTACTCCTTCCGGCTCTTCTAGCAAGACTTACACTAAGTGCTTCCGACAAAAGCCCAGGACAGATCTCACAAGTTGCTCTCCAATCAATCTACGGGCCAAGATCCGAGCCAGGCTTCCCAGCCTTTGCTCCCCCTCTGGCTGCACATGCTGTTTACGGGCACTCACGGATGTTGTCAGTGTTTTCCCGGACGATGTCCGTCTTCAGCAGGTTATCAGCCAGCACAAAGGCGCTGTCCTCCACGGTGTCAAGCAGCTTGGTCGCCGCACGCTGCTGCTCGCTGGCGTTCAGGTCCCGCCACGCATTCAGAGCCTGGGGCTGCAGGAGGTTATTCACCGTCTCCACCATGGCCTGCAAAGGAGGGGGACGGAGTAAGAAAGGGCTCTTGTGAGCCTGCAGCAACGTTAAGACCACAGACACATACGCTCGACCCCCTCCTCCATGCACAGCAATTTACGGCAACAGGACAGCATCCCAACTCCCCACCCAGCACAGCAGCTTGCAACGGAGCTAGTCATTCATCGCATTACATAGGAGCAGGGGGAAAATCTTGTGTTGTATTCTAAAAGGCCGTTTCTGCTGCCATGATCTGCAGCTCCAGGTTCAGAGTAAGAAGGAATTAGCGGCTAGGGAAGGAGGGAAGAGGGGGAAGTTGTTAAGGAAACAGGAGAAAAACAGACTTCGAAACCCATCTGTGACACAGGGAGCTGCTGCTGTGCAGCGCCAAAACGCAGCAGTGGGGCTGGGCCACCCAAGAAAGATATCAAATACCTGCACGGGCTACCCTGTCTAGTGAACATTTCCCACCACATAACCTCTGGCAGGCTCTTATGAAGACACAGAGAGTTTTGCTACTTATGTTCTTCGGCTCTTCCTTCATCCACAAAACCAGCAGGCGCCTTTAGAGCTTTAGATACGATACTACACTTCAAATTGCTCCTGTCAGGAAGGCAACAACTTCAATGCCTCCCGCAGGGCACCTTGTGCCCCAGGTTGCCATGGACATAGAGCTCTCCCACGGAGAACTTCCTGCAGGTTAATCTGGATGCGCATCAGGAACGCACGAAATTGCACCAGTCTCATGATTTCTAAATTTCAGCACTTGAGCCTACCCAACCTGAAGGTTTTGTTCAACCCCCAAATCCCTGCTTAGTTACTAACCACAGCTGGCTCAGCTGCTTGAAGCTACTATTTTTTGATGAAATCATGTATACTGGTTGGTAAAACTGATTGTGCAGAGGAAAAAAGGATGCTTTGACAGTGCTTTCTTCTGCTGGTTAGTGTTTCCATAGCTGTATTTAGCTCACAAAGAAACACCTCCACTGCCAATTAACACTGACTGCAGAAGCCAACTTTCCCATTGGGGATGAAATTGCCATTCTTAATAATTTTCCATGTGCTGAAAGCGCATAAATCCTCTCGCCTCATTTCTGCGTGGCAAAGACAGTTCCACGGCATGTCGACATTTTGCAAGACTAGAGGATACACCACGGCTCACTGTCATGGAAATACTTTGTATTTACTCCTCACTGTGCTCCTAAACCCAGCAGTACAAGACAACATTTAAAAAGAAGCTAAGGCATAGCCTATTTGCTAGCAAAGCCCTGCAGGAGGCATGTTACAAAGACAATACATGACCAGCAGACTGGAAGGTGTCCTGGATATGCAGTCACCGATCATGCTCATACACAAGCGGGAAAATATAATCACATCAGTCCAGATTTTGTTTATTGCTATATCCAGGTGACCTTCAAGAGGTTTCAATTACAGTGAAGTCCAAGGAGAAGGAAAGAGAGCTTGACCTGGCAGTGAGGAGGAGCCTTGTTTTTTTAATTCCAGAAAGACATTTCATTGAGATGATACTATGGAGCATTAGCATCATCTGAGGAATCACAGTACACTTCAGTGTCATCTATCCCTCGTCATGGGTAGGGAACGAACATCTGAGAGGTTCTCTTTTCCTAGAGCAATGCTGTACTGACACCAAGCAGGTCCAGACACACACGCAGGAGTACAGGCAACCATCAGACCTTCCTGTCCATTGATCACAGCTCCCTGCTCTTGTACGCAATCAGAGTGCAAATCCTTTTCGTGTGCCAGAGACTTTTTATCCCCAAAGCCCTCAAGGTTGGAAGGTTTTTCATACTACCTCTTCCCTATTGGAAGGCGAGCCAGATTCAGGCTCCTTCTACAGTAAAAAGCGCCCACTCTCCAACCTAAATTTATTCATGGCCAATTAATTCATTTGTTCCTGTGCCAAACCTCCCCTTTACCTTAAGCAGATCTTCTCCCTCCCTGGCAGCTACTTCCCTGATCTCTTGATCATAGGCAACATTTCTCCTGAGCCTCATGGCTTGGTTTCCTATAATACGGAGTAGCCATTGCTTCAACCACTGCAGCAAACTGAAATGCTGAAAATGTTCAAGGACCATCCTTTAGTGCTACTGCCAGCACTCGGTTAACATAGCACTGACATCAGTGGCAAAACACCTACCGACTTCCATGGGACCAGGTTTGCTGTGGTTTGTGAGCCATTTTTTGGTGGTAATCCGGCAGCAAAAATCTTCTTGCTGTCAAGCCTTTACAGCCCTGAGCTGCAATCCCTTTCTCACTTGCTGCTAATTGGAAGTTATTAACCACAAATCAATTGCTTAAACTGATCATTAAACTCATTTTCCTAAACAGTTAAAGGAAATCATCTTAGCACACTTGGCACGTGCACCTAAAATAAACGGGTTAACTTTAACTGTGAAAAAGAAATATTTAAAATCCATAGCATTTAGGTATGTTTCTTCAGCACTGTAAAACCTTAAAGGCCAATCTCTGTAGCCCTTAATGCATTTCTGTAGTTTGCTTCAGTGGTTTGTCTCTTTATAGACTGGAAAGGAAGTCTTATTCTTGCCCAGGGATCGCAAAGCATGACTATGTCAGTATGCTGGTCCTATGCACAGCGTTTCTTAAAAAGATCTCATATTCATGGAAAGTAGAAAATGAGGATTTTTTTTCCTCCTCTTTCAAGGCAGAACACAGTGTAGAACACAATTTGCATTACTTTCATTTAGCTCAGCTACTAATAGGGTCTTTGCTAAAACAATATCCTGGATACCTTTCTCAATATTGTAACGGTGGAAGGAGTTAGTCTTTGCAGCAGGTCTAGCTCCTGGCTTCTGATGGAAAGGTAAGGCCTATTTGTCTAAATGTGAAACAGATGCTGAACTATTATTTGTGTTACGGTAAAACATCTGCTGCAAAGATTTTTCCCCAGAAAAATGATTTTATCTAATGCGTATTTTATTTTATTTTTAACAAAGTGTGTACGCCCATGTGAGCACGCAAAGCTTGAGAAAGAACATCAGTTAGGCCTTACGTGCCATCTCCTGCTGCATGTGTATTCCTGACGAAATAGGCACTGCTGTGGCCAGCATCCTCTTGAAGTGGCTAACCTGAAACCAGCCACTTCACGTCGCTTTGGAATTGGGGTCTGATGCAAATCCCACAGAAAGATTTCCAAGGGCTCTGGGTCAGATCCTTAGCACAGATCTGAGCAAAGCCGGTATGACTGTCTTCGCTGGCATTACCTCAGAGATGAATTTAGCCCATTGCTTTTCCCAGAGGGTCATTCCCCTCACCTGCCTCCATGCATTAATCAAGCGTCCCTCGCATTATATTTCTGAGTGCTGCACTTCATTACGGCTGAGTGCCGCAGGCTGAAGCCAAGGAGATGAGGTGCTAATGAAATGTTTGCATTTTGGACAGGAGCTGAGGTAGGTGTTTAAATGAAACAAAACATCTGTTAAAGCAACAGTGTCTCTGGAGAGGGAGATCCCAATCGGGAAAAGTTGGGTAGGAGAGCTCGAACTGCAGGAAGGCAGGCATGCAGGACAAGGACCAGCCTCTGTCTTTGCATTTAAGCTGAGCCATCACGGTTGAGGTGGCTTTGGCACCTGCTCCAATTACTTTGCGGCCTGATGAAGCAAACTGTAAGGAAGATCCCTATCCCAAGCACTGAGAGACTCTCGCCTCTGTCTCACAGCACAGCTTTTCTTCTCTTCCCTTGCCTGATCCCTCTTCCAAATGCAACTCAACCAGGCGAACAATTTGCTAGGGAGCCAAAGAGCTCCTGTGAGCCTTGTGCAAAGTAAAAACACGTGGAGCTTCCGTCATTTCTTTCCATCTGATCGGCTGCTCCAATATGCCTCAACATCACCCGCAGCACGGCCCCAAGGCAATGCCACGATTGCTGTGGCTTAAAGAATGAACAGCACAACTATGCGTACGCCCAGGGAGGACACCAGTAACTCAAATGACATCTAGGGAAAGCTTTCACGAGTCATAGCTTGCTTTTTTTTTTTGCAGCCTTGAAGCATGGGTGAACCAGAGAAGCCAAGAGAGATGACTTTCCATCTGCCGTCTTACCCCCAGAGACGCACAGGTGTAGCTCCGTGCCGATGACAAAATCAGGGTACCTATACAAGTGAAGCCAAACCCCCTAAAACTCAAGCCCACGTTTGCTCTTAGAGAAGCTAAAGTACCAGCTGGGTCAGATGAAAGGTCCACAGAGCCTAATAGGCTGTCTCCAGTGGAAGCTGTAATTGGAAACCAAGAGAAGAGCAAGCACATGCCAAGCCTGGAAGATAAATCCCTTCATGGTGATCCTCTTCATTATGCAGTTATATAGCATCACAGAGTGTAATTCAATATAAACAAATAAATGCTAATAACGTGCGGAGGAAGAACTTTCCCAAATCAGGGCTGATGCTCATGGTTTCTTGATTTTGTCCTGAGGTTACAAAACAGAAACAAAATGTAAAACTTCCTTTTCAGACACTTACAAATTGGTACTAAAATATATATTGTCAAAAGGCAACTAATTAGGAGTCTTACAGTAATTATACATTACTAAAAGACTGATCCTACATATCCCATTGATTTCCTTAGTGACAGCTGCTTCATTCTGTAAAACTAGATTTTGCTTGTTCATTTATTTTTATCTTCTTCTCCTCTAGAGTGAGAGTGTCTGGCTAAGCGACACAAAGTTTAAACCCAGGAGCGTGTATATATCCACTGATACCCCATCCATCTCTTTATCTATTGCTGTACCAACACCCAAGGCACTTTGACAAAAGCTGCGTTTTGTAATGCAAAAATCTGCCTTTAATTGGGAATCGACGCTAGAGACCACTAAGAGCTGTTAGACCTATTCATCGCAAGGCGCTCGCTGCAGAGCTTGGGAACAGATTGTGTCGCGTCCCAGTGCTTACAGACAGCAGCCCTAACCCCTGAAAATCAGCAAGCCTCCTGGAGTCGGGCACTCTCTAAACTTGTATTGTTTGCCGGCCTCTCCTCGAGCA